AAACAGTAAACTTTTAGTATGATTTAACATCAGACATTTTTTTTTAAATGGTTATGTTCCTTTTAGAGTGTATGTAAACTTTTGGTTTCAACTGTATATGCTGAGCACTGTATAAAATAAGATCCCATTTCTCATTAGAGGAGTAAAAACTATTTTACATGCTTAAAGAAAAGGCTTACCACAACAAAGGTACGGTTGCAGCAGTTCATATTTTTTGTAACAGTTCTAGATTTAGATTGTGCGTGCCATAAAAAAACATAACAGTTTATCTGTTTCTGGTTTCAGCAATGCGTATAAGTCTTCTCCACAAACTCCCAACATCTGAGCCACTGAGGTCTAACAGGAAGAATAACACAGTGCAAAATTCCACCTTCAGATTTAAAGGCACTAATAAAAGGCTATGTTTCTGACAAATGGCAAGCACAATGGGATCTGTGCTCAAACCGAAAGCTCAAGACATGATGAGGTTGTTTACACAAGATGCTTTAACTTCCCTCAAAATCTCAATATTGCTAGAAACCAAAGTGTTAAAGTCCCAATGAACCTGAAGCTGCAATTGTTAATTGTTTTTGTATTGTGATGCAGTTCCTAGAGAGACAGAATATGAAATGAGAAAACAGTGGTCGTGGCTTGCTTTTTCTACTGTGGACTAAATGGATGTAGTAAAGTAGGCATTTAATTCAGAAAGATCAGGAAAGGGGTTTTAGAAGAGTTATTACTACCTAACCGACAACTCCTGCTCACCATTTCTGTTTGTTGTCAAAACTGACTGTTGAATCAGTGTGGGAATAAAACTGAAAACAAACAGAAAGTGCATTTTCAGATTTCAATTAAAGATTACAAGGGCAAACATTTTTATTTTTATTCTTAATGACATGCACAGATGAATTGTTCACCACAAAAAATGGCGATCTGAGCTAACAAAATTAATATGGTTAGTGTTGATTTCTTGGTGAATTTAAAAATAGGGCATTCCAAAAGTATATGTTTAATGTTGTCAGGTACATTTTTTTTTAGAGACTTTAAAGGAAATATTTTTAAATCTAAATCTTAAAAAAAGTACAATAATCAAAAAGTAAACTTAAAACTATTTTAGATTTTAACTTGTGTATTATTTATTTCTGTTGAATGTCTTTTTGATGTCATAATTCATCATCATCATCATCATCATTATTATTATTATTATTATTATTATAGAGAAGGTATATTTATAAAATGTTATTAATTTGATCTAGTTTTGCCATTAAATGGCCAGAGAAGCTGATATTTCAATATATTCAAAGCTCACTCTCTCTGAGCCACTGAGAACATTGTGTTGCATTTAATTAAAGTTTTAAAGCAAATGAGATGAATGTTGGATGAGGCGTTTATAAATTTGTACAGCATATTGAAAAACTGACATGTGGCCTTGTATGGTGACCCATACTTTTGAATCAGTGCTCTGCATTTAAACACACTCACACACACACACACACAATAGTACAAATAAATAAAAGAACAACTCTAAAAACTCCATAACTATCTAAATATATCCACTTACAGTTGAAGAAAAAGTTGTAACATTTTACATATGTAGTATATCTGGAGTGTCAGGAGAACATGTAAATTATCTGCCCTCTTCTAAAAAGCAGCAGCTCATTTGCAATTTAAAGGACACACAAAAATGGCATGGCTAACAGCCATATATATATATATATATATATATAAAACTTTCTGGTGTCCCCAGAAGCGGTCTGAGCAATCTTATTATGGAAATGCGCAAAAAATATCAGCTTTAAACCGCTAATAATGAGAGAATGTGTGCTCTCCTCCTGCTACTCTAGTGAGACTCACTGGGCGACGCTCATCGCTTTTAGTGGCACATCAGCTCCACAGACTCTACTCAGTGGGGTTTGGTGATGAACGAGTGTAGCAGAATGTGGACAGTACTTGGGGAATCCTAATGAATTCCACCAGCCGGGGGAGGAGGAGGCCTGTCATTAATATTTCAGAAACTGGTCGCCATCAGGTCGTATTTGTGCATATGTAGGTCATATCTGCCATCATATTAGTATGCCCAGCCACTGTTTAACCCTGCTTAACTGGCATTTTCTGCAACAGCGATGACATTGTGCATGTGTTCCACTGTGTTGTACTGCCTCTTCATTTGGATTTTATCAGTCAAAGAGGCTCAATATAGAATTCTGAGTAATGTTTGTTATTAGCGTCTCCGGTGGCTGGTAAGTGAACTGCAGGTAACGGTTTGTCCTACGCTCATGCAAAATGTACTGAATGTTATTTAGTGCTTCAGTGTACTCAAAGCAAAATTTCTTTTTCATTCTTTGGTGCTGTCCACATTCTGCAGATGCTGTCCACAGGTCTAAGAGTGTCGTTTAGATCAGTGTTTCTCAACCACGTCCCCAACACAGCATGTTTTGGATGTCTCCTTTGTCACACCCATTACAGGTCTTTCAGTCTCTGCTAATGAGCTGATGATCTAAATCAGGTGTGTTTGGTTAAGGAGACATGGAAAATGTACAGGGCTGGTGGGCCTCCAGGAACGTGGTTAAGAAACACTGGTTTAAATAATTATATGAATATGTTGTGTGCACTTTTTTTCTCTTTAACAAAATAAGCATAAGTAAAATGACAGCAGTAAGAAAATGGCAGTTAATAAAGTATCTGATCATACCATTATTGATATTTGCTCATGCTCTCTGATTCAAAGGCATGATGGGGTGAAGTTACGTTTATAGTTTTGATTATAAAGTATATTTGTGACTATATACACAGTAAAGCTGTGGGATGTGATCCTTGCTAGGGTTGGGTCGATAGACGATGCCATTGCCGATGGCTGATAGACATCACTATGCTGAGCCGGCATCGCGATTCTTCGCTCTGTCCCCGTCTTAGCAGCAACCTACATGTAAAAAATACATACTTATTGCTGCATTTACACAGACACATCTTCGTTTTGAAATATCATTTTAGAATGAAAATGATGCACGTCTACACTGGCATTTTATTCCACGCTATACTACACATCGGGTTGGACTGTTTATCAAGGATATACCGCTGGATGGCGTCTCACAATAGTTGTTAAACATGATATTTAATTAATCTTGTCTCTATCTAATGACTCTTCTGTCTTTTAAATCTGTCAGGTAATGTGTCACAGCATCAGCACACTGCTTCAATCTTTCACCTTCACACTTCTAACATAACTTAGTAATCTTAGTGAAAACCTGGTTTCTGTTGGTTGTTCACCTTTACCAACCACGCTATTATAACAACACCGATCACTCTGCCTGTACATGCCGGAGTCCTGTGTAAAAAGTGATTGACGGGTGGTAATTTGTGTGTAACTTAGCTTTATTTATGATTTGGTTTGGAGTAAAACAAAGATCATGTGGGCCAGGTAGTAGTTGAAACTGTAGGCAACAAATAATTAATTAGTTAAATTAATTATTCATAGATAATAATTTGATTTGATTTATAACATAAACTATAAATCAACTACAAACTATATTTCGATTTATAGTTGATTTAATTATTAAAATTGCTATTAAATTTCTTAGATGTTGTGTGTGTGTGTGTGTGTGTGTGTATATACTGTATATATATATATATATATATATATATATATATATATATATACTGCTCAAAAAAATAAAGGAAACACTTGGAGTTATATTAAGTTGTTTAAGTGTTTTTTTGAGCAGGCAATAGAGCTTTTGAAAAGTTTTTTCTGAGATTTTTCCATACTACCTATCCTAAAGATGAGTGTATAAGGAATTGGAAGCATCTGTAATGGCCAGTTTAAAATAAGTCTACGTTAGCAGTTTTTTTTTTTTGCGTCTTCCTGCATGGTGCCCAAGTTTCCTATAGAGGCATTTTTTTTGGGACCACCAGGAACAATAGCTGGAAGCAGTGGGTCATGTTCCCCTTTCCTCTCTAGAAGGCTAGTATGAAGAGCTCTTCTGTGGGCTTTTTATTGTGCCCATACAGAGGTTTTATGAATCCCAACACAATTCAAAATTAGCTTAGTTGTTTACATTTCAAATCTGATTTGGTTTCATTCTCATTTATCTGCTGTGTTTATCTGAATTAAATGCACTATATAAATGTAGTCTTTAATTTACACCTCTTAATTAATAAGTATCACCAATTAGCTTTTAGCATTTTACATTAAATAAAATGTAATTTACAATAAACATAAAGTAATTGGCAAGCTTCACTGCTTAGTACATATTTTGCATGATTTTGAATTGACTTTTAAATGTGACGTACAAACAAGCATCACTCACTCAATATGATTACTTATAAGAAGTTATTCATTATAAGTGGTTAGTGGTTCTGCTCAGCTGTAGATGTTGCAGAGGGTGGAAAAGACCAGTACTAGTCATCAATATAAATCCAATATAAAGCAAAATTTCACTTTCTTAAATGGGTGTTTTCCCTGGTGTTACAAATGCCCCAAAGAGAAAGATTAAAATAAAACAAAAAGCTGCTCTTTAAAATGTAATGAAGTAGGGTGTGATTTTAATGTTATTGTAAATCATCTTTGCATATGGTGCTTTAGTAAAATGTGATAATGAGTTTCTGGAGGAAATCTAGCAAAAAAAGTAATTTCCTCTTATTGGTGCTCAGAAGCAAACCTTTTTAAAATATGGGGATTTTTTGCTAATAATTGTAATAGTTTTTTCTATAATTTGCATCTAAATTATGTGGAATTAATTTAAGCAGTACGTCATATGGATTACCAGTAAAGTTAAAGCATACAAAATGGCTATATAAATGTCATAAAATAAAAAATATAAATAAATATAAAATAAATATATATTTTTTTAAATATGAGAAATGTAAGAAATTCTTACCACTAGCATAAATAATATAAGTACTTGCATTAATACTGTAATTATGGATGCAAGCATGTAAATTTATTTTCATTTAATGATTTAAGAACCATAATCTAAATAAAGGTTTAAATGCACATCTGTCTTTGTGTTGTTTTTTTTCAGCTTCTCCAAAATAGTTTTGTTTGTCCGCAGGTGGTGGCAGCTTGTCTGTGGATGTCTTGTGGTTTACCTGAAGAAGACAATTATAGACATGGCAGCCAATAAGAGCAAGGCTCAGAGCTCCCTCGCCCTACACAAGGTCATCATGGTCGGCAGTGGAGGCGTAGGAAAGTCTGCCCTCACACTTCAGTTTATGTATGATGAGGTAAGTCGGTAGGGTTTTTTTAACACGCATAAGCAGTTTTCAAGGAAATGTTAGTAATCTAAAAAAAAAAAAAAAAATGAAAGACAGTAATGCTCTTAGTTTTTAACTTTATAATTACCACTAAAAAAAACTAAAGGAGCCAATTACTTCTGTCATTACTTTGAAATAATACCCATTACTGTTGTAGCCAGACTTTTTTTCTCCAACTTTGTAAAATTTGTCCTATACTTGTTGTTTTATTAAAATTACAAGACTGAACATTTCTGAGTATTTATAGGATGAATTCAGTTCAATTGGGGTGCCATTTTTGGTAATCTCCAAAAGTATCCCAACTGACCTGAATTCACCTTTAGAAGTACTCTTAACCATTTAGATAACAGTTAAATCTTGTAATTTGCCTTTAACAGACATGACGATCATATAGATCATATGAATTATAAAAGGCATTCTATTTAGGCATGTTTTTTTTTTCAAACAAGTTTTTTTACTTTGTATTGGAATTCATAATTGTGATATTTATTTTACAAAGAAATGATAAGAATATCAATCTATTTTGAGTTTATATAATTATCTACAATAGTTTGTATAATCTATAATTGTCTACACGTTTTGTGATTGTCTGTGAAAGTGTTCACTGTATTCATAAGTTTTCTGTATTCTATCAAATCAGATCTAGTCATTCGTGGATTTTGATTTTATATTGGCTGCATAGGATCATTAGTCAGTGTATTAAATTTTTTCAAAATAATTTCCAAAATTCACAATGATTTAATTTACTAAAATGTTCTGCTTCAAACCATATTATTGTTATTTAAAACTAGTACACCATGCTCTTCACTTGCACTTATTATCAGCATTTTGTTTAGAGGTTTTTCTGCATTTAAACCCCACTGATTTTTCACTGGCGACGAGTAGAGTGAACTCACAGAATCACCCCCTGTTGTTAGATGGTGCTTAATGAACTCGCAAGTCATAAAAGAAAAGGGAAATAAACTCTGCATTAATCCTATTTGCACAACAACTCCCTCTTGCTGACATTATTGTAGCTGCTCTTGGGTTTATCATGGAGCTCTTTGTGTTCAGACACCAATGAAAAAGCAGCTCATCCTGCCTCCCTGGATCATCTTCACTGAATGAAAGTGAAACTTCTCGCCTAGTGCGTTTTGCACTTGAGTGCATCCAAGTGGTGTTTATTCTAACTTCAGCTGATCCAGGTGTGCCAATCTCATCGGTGGAGCAGTTTTTGATGTATTTAAAAAAACAAAAAAAAGAAACAAAAACTTCATTATTCACTTCATGCATTCCAGGGTCTGTAAATGTTTTTAAAGGGTCATATAATGATTTTATAGTTTACAAAGTTAAAATGTAAATAAATAATTATTTAAATGCTGTTACATATAATATCATGTTTGTATAAACACTATAAATGAGGAGGACTTCTCTCCTCCTGAATCCCGGGGCTGAATGCAGACACAGTGCTGTAGCTACAGTTGGTCGCGATTCCAACCTTTAGCCCTGAAGGATTGTAATCTCTGAAGGATTTTAAACATAGGTGAACACAGCAGCACAGATAGTCAATGTGTCTGAATGGTGACAAACTCAGCTGATAAAAGACAAAGTCGCTGTATCGGTAGCCCTGACAGCATTTTGGAGATTGTGTCAAAGCAGCTTAACATAGAAGATTGAGTAAATTAAAACTGTGTCAGTCCAATTTTCAGAGTTAGTTCAGTGCGGTTAACTACCTGGGGTTTTCACTGCCGAAAGTCCAAACACTGAGAGACAAATGCGTCAATGTGCAACTCCACAAGTTCCAAACCAAGCAAGCCAATGGCGAGGAACAAAACTTCACCAATTGACGAAAGTTGAGGAAAAAAACCTTGGGAGAACCCAGACTCAGTTGTGGACGATCATTTCTCCGCTGGCCGACCTTCTTGTGCAGAGCTGCGGTCTAGTTGCTGGATGCTGGAGAACGCTGGACGTGCGAGTAGGTCACTGACGGGTGTACAGGCTGGTCCACAAGATCAACGCGGAGACTTGTCTGTCACTGGGGTCTTTTAGGAATCTGTCTCATGCTCTAAACCCCTCCATGACCGCCACAGTATCTGCTCAAGATACAGCCTGGTCCAGGCTTATGGAGACCTCTAGAAGTCCTATGGTTAGCACAGTCTCTTCACTGGACTTGAATCACATCAATGGCGCTGCACAATCTCTAGAGGCCTTGGGATGAGTATCCCTAGGTGGAAATAGAGAACAAAGTAGATAATTAGCGTGGCTGCTGTTCATAGTGCATTTAAACAAGAGAGTATTAAATACACATCTAATTTTATGAAATAGTCTAAATACTAAGAATTGCTTTAATGGCCATTCTAGATGTTATACAATAATGATAGTTATGCTTTTAAGATGCTTTTATTCTGTGTTTTATTCATGGTTTACTTACTTTACCATTGATTTATAATTTCTTATCTTCTGTGCATTAGTTTGTGGAAGATTATGAGCCCACAAAGGCCGACAGCTACAGAAAGAAAGTGGTGTTGGATGGAGAGGAGGTGCAGATTGACATTTTGGACACAGCTGGTCAGGAAGACTACGCGGCCATCCGGGACAATTATTTCCGAAGCGGAGAGGGCTTCCTTTTGGTCTTCTCCATAACAGAGCATGAGTCTTTCACGGCCACAGCAGAATTCAGGTCAGTAGTATCGCGCTGTTCCGGCCATTGCAACCATAAGCTCGCATAATTAGAAAATTGGATCTCCTATTGTGACCTAGAATAGTCGGAAAATGGGATCACTCAACATTAAATGTGTTCGTGTGTGTTTACAGGGAGCAGATCCTGCGGGTTAAAGCCGAGGAGGATAAGATTCCGCTGCTTTTGGTTGGAAATAAGTCAGACCTTGAGGATCGGAGGCAGGTTTCTGTAGACGAAGCGAGGGGGAAAGCTGAAGAGTGGGCTGTGCAGTATGTAGAGACTTCAGCCAAAACACGAGCCAATGTGGACAAGGTATTATTTATTATATTATTACTTGTTTTAAGATGTGTTTTATTTCATTTAATCTTTTTTATGTTGTTTTGATGTTTTGTTTCTCATATTTAGTAGTTTAGAAACGCATTGCTCCACTACATACGTTTTTGTGAGACGCAATGTGCTGAATCCAGGTTTAGATTATTTTCTGTGTCGCAGTGTTATATTCGAATTCTAAAGAAATATTCTTATCGATGTATGCAAGTGTCAATATTTGAATGACTAGAGCTGCTGTTGCAGGAATTACATTAGGTTTTTACTCTTTAAAGTAAGGGTTCACTCAAATGAAAATCGTGTTTTATTTATGCACCCTCATGTTGTTCAATATCCATTTACTTAATTTATATTTATTACTAAATGCATTGATGCAGGCTAAACAAGTAGTGACAGAAAAGACCTTTAATGAAACCCATTACATCACGAATAACCTACCACAACTTCTTCCTTCACCATTATATTATATTTTAAAATTATATTTTACAGAAAAACCTAAATGCTTTCATACATATGATTTGGATGACACAAGAGGCAATCTCTCTGTAATCAATCCAAATTTAGGACTAATCTACCAGCAAAACAAAATGTATTAACTGTGCCATGTGTGTCCAGAACCATGGGTTGTGATCCGTACAAATCACAGATAAACCATGATCCATTACACCCCTAATACTTAAGAATGCTCTAACACACAAAATCCAGAAGTATGTATGACCTAACAGGAAAATTACTTAATATAGTTCTGCTATACTCCTGCAATATGTTTGCTTGTAATAATAATAATAACAATAATAATAATAATAAGAGAGTTTTTATCATATATTAATGCAAAAATTCAGTTTATATTTGTATTATTCAGAATAGTTTTTGCCATGAAGATGGCAATGAAGCTGACATGACATTACGTAAAATATGCAATGGAATACAATATTTTGTGATATATTAGAAAAAATTATCTTAATACTTTAGCATTTTGTATTTATGTCCTGCATAACACTAGTTTTGGGACTTTTAGGAGAGAGACAAATATCTCTCAGATTGGATTAAAACACATTCATTTATGTTTGAAAAAGGAACAGTTTAAGTGATATTTCACTTTTAATAGGCATGCTGGTAATAAAAGTGAATGTCAACTATTATTTTGTAATGAACCTATTGCACTTGTTATCTTTTATAGTTGTATTATTTCAAGCTTGTTGCAAACTTGTTTTATTTGTATTTTTTATTTATATGCAAGTATTTATTTCTTTACAATAATGCTTTTATCAAACTTAATTAATTAAATTAATAAACCATTATCTTATCCTCTCTCTCACACTCACTCAAATTCAAACTTGATTTATTGACATCACAATGTTACATGTATATTGCCAAAGCAATGGAGATGTTTATGTTGAACAGACCATATGAAAAAAATGACAATATTAGTAGTAGTAAGAAAAACTAACAAACAAAAAACAATAATTAACACTATATTTGACAGTCAACATTTTAGGATAAAAAAATAGTAATAAATTATAATTACATTATATTTAACAGTCAACATTTTATGATTTACATAACAAATTCTCTCTCTCTCTCTCTCTCTCTCTCTCTCTTTCTCTCATTCTCTCTTTTGTTTGATGAAAATATTTTCTTTCTATTGGATATTTAAATTTTCTATTATTTGGTTTTAACAATCTTGTCGTACTGTGCAGTAATGAACGCTCTGTTTTTCCAAAGGTATTTTTTGATCTAATGAGGGAAGTCCGAGCTAAAAAGATGTCAGAAAATAAGGACAAAAATGGAAAGGGAAAAAATAAGAAGAATAAGAAGAGCTTCAAAGAGCGATGCTGTTTACTTTGAACAGCACTTGGACTTTTCCCAACCAATCCTTTCGCAACTCTGTGGAAAACTCCATCAGAGGCCCCTTTTATTTCTTTCAAATCAAAACTTGACTAGTATATCGTTGTACAGGCCAAGGCAAGCCTTTTATTCTCTCAATTCATTTTAGGTAACTTGACTAAGATTGAATGGTATGCATACTTTTTAACAGACGATGACCACTATATGGCTACTGGTTCAAGACTGTGGCACTTTAGGATTTTTGTCAAATGTAGTTGGCCACTGTGTGCCAAACACTAACTTCATTCTTCTGTGATTTAACTTTTCGTCACAGTTTTATGTAAGAATCCACTTTAGTAGACAGTGTTAGGCTAGTGATCAAAAGTTTGGAGTCAGTAAAATGTTTGTAAAAGCGGTCTGTTCTAAATACCAGAGCTGCAATTATTTGATCACAAATACTATTAAAATGTTAAAGCTGTGAATTATAATTTCATATATAATTGTATAAATATTCATTTTCTTTTTGGCTTAGTCCCATTATTAATTTGGAATGAACCACCAACTTATCCAGCATATGTTTTACGCAGTGGATGCTTTTCCAGCTTCAACCCAACCCTGGGAAACATTTGCATAAATATTTTTCAAATAATTTCATACATTTTATGAATAATTGTATTTGTTCTTGGAATTCAAAGCTGAATTTTTAGCATCATTACTTCGGTATTCACAGGGTGTCTGCGGGGTCCTAAAATGTCTTAAATTTTCATAACTAAATTTTAGGCCTTAAAAAAATCTTAAAGTCACTGAAATTTTGACTTGTAGGTCATAAATAATTATAAACAGGTTTTAATTTGCCTTTGTCTATCTAATCAGGTCAACATGCATAAAAACTTTTAACAAAACTCTATTTATAACTCTGTTTACTAATATGGTTTAATTATCGTCACTGCAATAATGTTTGTTTAAAAGTTCTATGTGTATTTACAGAATAGTCTATATATGGTAAGGGCACTGACCTGGACAGACTGTCATGCACACATTTAGTTTATTATACATTTGAAATATTTGTATGTAAATTGCGTATGCATACAACTAGGGTTTGCTTGTTTTGAGAATTTATTTAAAACTTAAATAAGTTATAAGCCTAAGAACTAAGCTATTATAATATAATTTATAATTGAAAGTCCTGTGTAACTCTGAAAGTTAATTTATAAAGGTCTTAAATTTGACTTTGTGAAACCTGCTGAAACCATGATTCAGCTTCACATGAACCCTTAGAATTTGTAGTATCATGATCCATTGTTTTTTTATAATAAATTAATATTGGTACTCAGTCATTCATAATAATTCGTTAAATTCCTCAGTTAATCATTTAACACACTTTCAGAATCAGACTCTTTATTGTGAAAAAAAATAGTGTTTTCCCTTCTTTTCGGTGCAAGTTTTACTTATCTATATCAACATTAATAGAAGCAAGTAGGAATAAGTTATTAAAAAAAAGTAAGTAAAAGATACCAATAGCAATAGTATTAAAGATAATATCCAATTATTATGCATAGAGACTGCACTTTATACATTTGTCTTTTTAGCATTTTTAAATAAAAATAAAGTTCAAAATAACAGCATTTTAAAAAAAAATCAAATGAAGTATTTGTTCTTCCTTAAGAATCAGAATCTGTTTTATTGCCAAGTGTGCTTTAAACACACAAAGAATTTGTTTTGGCTACAGAAGCTTCCAGTGACAACATGAAAATAACTATGAGAAAAGGTGACAAACATAAGACAGAGATGCAAGTACTTTACAAAAGTACTTTAACTACATTTTATTGGTACTATTGAATGGTACTGTATCATGGCTTGACAAAAATATGAAGCAGCACTGATAGTAATAATAAATGTTTTTTGAACAACAGATTATCAAATTAGAATAATTTCATGTGACCATTGAGGACTAATTTAAAAAAAAGTTATTATTCGCTTTAAAATATTTTATATATATATATATATATATATATATATATATATATATATATATATATATATTTTTTTTTGCAATATCATTGTACTATTTAGACATTTTTACATTTTATACTGTATTCCGGATCAAATAAATGCAGCATAGATGAGCAGAATAGACTTCTTTTAAAACATTGAATATTTATATTGTTCCCAAACTTTTGACAGGTGCTGTATACGCTCTCTCTTTTTATTGCACGCCATGAGTATTTTTGTGTTTGGTTTTCTCAGATTTAATCATTTTATTTCAATACCTGTTGAGACCATCATTGTATAGAAAGCCAGAAGTAATTTTGTAGATCAAGAGTAAGTGGTAGTACCATAGTTTTCAACTATGAATGAGTCCATTGAAAGCACACATGGTATCGAGGACAGTGTTGAAACAAGGACTAATAGTGCCATCTGGTGGTTGAAAATCTTTCAGGAAGTCCTCATGCCTGACCACAAGTGACTAAACGGCTGTGAACTGATCTGCCTTTATGCTTTCACGTTTTCTTGAAATATTTTTGTACATTTGCAACACTGTCTTATGAGAAGAATGTATTTTGTGTGAAAATGTGCCAACGAGCTTTATGACTAAACAAATGGCTTTGCATCATTTTCAGACTAAACACGTTTGATTTTTGTGTTTGTTTCGAGAGTTTTACACCAGTACTTTAAACCTGCTCTTTTATATACGAATCTCACCTAACATAGACTGCAAATTCTATTGTAGTTTTTTTCCACTGGCTTTCAGAAGAACAAAAAAACTTCTCAAGTATGTTGCCAAATAAACATTTTTTTCTTCCTTTGGATCTTACTTCTTTCTTCACTTCTTGGATTCACTGAATTTGGTGTGTTGTTGGTGCCTAGGATGGAAATCCAACCAATAAAATAAACCTCATGAACTTTATGCAGAAAATCATATGGAGTCACCCTGTGTTAATAGCATTTGAACTTTTATTCAAAGGAAATTATTGGTAGTCATAATAATGTAGGTTTTTTTTTTGTTTTTGTTTTTTTAGAATTGTTGTTCATTGATGAGGATGATGATAATAACCATAATAATAATTATTATTGTGTTTTATTATTAAACATATCATGATGCTTTTATTACTAATTTAGTTTTTCATAATAGAGCTTATTATTATTATTATTATTAATTGTATTAAAAATAATAATAATAATTATTATTAATTGTATTAATATTTATGGCACTTCTGTGTGGAGTTTGCATGTTTTCCTTGTGTTCATGTGAGTTTCCTCTGGGTGCTCCGGTCCCCCCACCCCCCCACCCCCAAGTCCAAAGACATGCACTATTTGTGAATTGGGTATAAGCTAAATTGTCCATAGTGTATGTATGCGAATGAGTGTATGGGTGTTTCCCAGTATTGGTTGCAGCTGGAAAGGGTTACTTAAATATTTGTATTATCATTATCATTAAACAATTTGCTTTTTGAGAAATTTGTTGATTATCATATGGACAAATTAAATAAACAAAGGGTGTCACAATATGAAAATATGAATATTTATAAAAATATGAAAATTAATTTTATGAAATGTTTACAAAATACATTGTGTACAGTATTGCTTTTACATAATTGATATGAGTGCATATTACACTATTCTGAGGATGCAGACAGAAACAGCAGTGTGAAAAGATCAAATCTTGAAAGTGTGTTATGTATAATTTTTGTTTAGCATTTTTTTTTGTTATGTGGACCTGTAAAAATTAATATTTATAAAGTTTTATATTTTAATAACATTAATAATACATTTTTAATCAAACATTTACCGTCTAAATACAGTGATACATGATCCGAGTGCTGATATTGCTATCAGCTAATCAGATTTGAGAACCAGATGGAAGTGTTGTATAAATGAGCAATATCACACTTGTAGCAGTGCGATATGGCTGTATATCAATGTTTGATGGCATAAACAAGTACATTGGCTTTGCCAGGCCTATTTTAGGGGTGTAGCCCCCCCTATTTTTCGACTCAGCCCTCTAAACCTTTCTGATTAGCTTATAAACTGTACATGAAATTATCACCTCAGTCCCCTTTCAATTTGATAAGAAAACAGCGGCAGAATTCGCCTCCTCTCCTTTTGTTTTTTTATTTGATCAACAAACCACAGCCGTGGACAGCAAGAAAACGAGGTGTGTGTTTGATAAATTATAATATCTGCTTATTTGCAGTTCTTTGATATAGATAACCTTGTATCACCTGTATCTCAATGTCACGGAGGAGCAGTCAGGTTTTCTTGGCAGTAACCTCATCAGCACAGCTGTTTCCTCCAGCGATAAATGTAACTCTTATCCAACATTTTCCTATTTTTGTTTCAAAATGAACTACAAATATTGAATACTTTACAGTTCGTGTGGCATTAACTATACCATACAGTCTTGCACAGAAAATATTAAACACAGGGAGGGACAGAAGCACTTAGAGAATGTATACTCATTTTAACTGTCACTGAGTAACTGACAGAAATGGAAAAATCAAGTGTTGTGTAGTATTAAAAAATGCTTCTTATTTATTATTATCATTCAGAGAATAAAATATTTGATTAGCCTTATTAGCCTTAGTTTAAAAAAAAAAAAGAAAAAAAAAAAAAAAAATATATATATATATATATATATATATATATATATATATATATATATGTGTTTCATTTAATTAGAAAAGTGGCAGTTTATTTGCTATTGAATGCACTTGAATATACTGTAGAAAGTGGTTTTTACTACAGTAAGCAGGTGGGTTGAGCCTATTATTATTATTTTTTTTTTACCTTAAAAGGAGCTGAGCCCCCCCTAAAATGAAAATCCTAAAATCGCCCCTGATAGTTTAAAAAAATCAAAGCATCTAAAATCCTGTTGTATGAGGAACTACTTTCTTCCGCCATTCCTTCACATCTGCTGCCGCTGACATCAGAACAGCAGAAACCGTTGCTAATTTCAACAACGTCACTTTAGAGCAACCGTCTTTGCTCTGCTCAATGACAGGCCCATGGATGGCGAGGCGCTGTATCTCAGAAATGATAAATATTTAAAATAGCCACTATTCTTATAAATAAACTGCATGGTTGCATTCTAAAAAACTACATTATCATCTAAAAGGCCTCAAAAGTACATTATGCTGTCCAACAGCTGCAATATACCTCAAACTCAAAGTCTATTGATCTGCTGTCACTCTATGTGGGCAGAGTAATAAACATGAGTGAGGAGGCTAGACCAGTGCTGTATTGCAGAATATTGCATGGCTATCAGCCAATCAGATTACAGAACAGACAGAACTGTTGTATAAATATATGATTATTTTATATACATGATATCATGCAAATAAAATCAAATATGAATGAGTAAATTTCTGAGTATTTACTTTAAAATGTAAATTAGTAGTGTTTACATATTGTCAATATATATATATGTACTATTAATTGCTTGAATTTACAGAAATTCAGACTCATTCATTCATTCATTCATTTTCTTGTCGGCTTAGTCCCTTTATTAATCCGGGATCGCCACAGCGGGATGAACCACCAACTTATCCAGCAAGTTTTTACGCAGCGGATGCCCTTCCAGTTGCATCTCTTGGAAACATCCACACACACAGTCACACACATACTCATACACTAAGGACAATTTAGCCTACCCAATTCACCTGTACCGCATGTCTTTGGACTGTGGGGGAAACCGGAGCACCCGGAGGAAACCCACGCGAAGGCAGGGAGAACATGCAAACTCCACACAGAAACACCAACTGAGCTGAGGTTCGAACCAGCGACCTTCTTGCTGTGAGGCGACAGCACTACCTACTGCGCCACTGTCTCGCCTAAAAATTCAGTCTATATTGTGATAAATCATTATCAGGATATGAGATCTATCAAACATACCCAGCCAGATAATCAAATGTTTGCTTGTGTATAAAGCTCTAAGTTATCAGTAGGTGCTCTGTTTTCTCTTTAACAGTAAAATTTTTTCAGGGTGTTTCCAGCTTTACAGAAGAACAAAGACTGCTCTGTTAAAGCAAACCACTGCTGCTACTAGTCATTCTTTAGACTGAGCACTGGAGGGCAGTGTTTCTCTGCATTCACACACTGCTGCAGCATCAGCCTGTTTCTGAGTTTTATTGATCAGGGCCAGCCAGCCCCATCAACCGCTTCCAATGCAGGCCATTTCATACACATATACAAGCCCTTTATTCATCCTGCCCAATAACTACCGTAATGGAGACCACAATTAGGGTTATGTATCATTATACGAGATCTTCTGTAATTAAGAAGCAATAAAGACCAAGCATTTTGCACTGATGTCTATTAGCAGTCTGGAGCTTTCTATGCTTTTCTGTTTATTTCTGCATCCGCTCAAGTTATTAGAGTACAATCAATGGAGAGAGAGAGAAGCAAAGCTGTAAGGTTTGGCATTAGCATTTTTCATAAATGAATAATCTTTTTGAACTGAGACTTTGAAATAATTTTCAAGCATTTATTTTATGATTTTATATATAGTTTTCTTTATTTGTTTGCTTTATTTGCATTTGAAAGGAAGAAGAAAGAATAAGAAACTGCATAATGAAAAAGTATTAAGCGCAAACATAGCCAGTGAATAGAAATGTTAACATATATATAT